AGCGGAACCGATCATTTCCTGCGCTCAAAGGCTGCTCCTGAGTGAAAGAATAAGACTACTTTTTCCCCTCATGATGCACTTTCACACAGAAAGAGAAAAGGTCCAAGTAACAGAGTATCTCCCAGGAGTGGTTCTGGAAAAAGGTCATTTGTTTACCAGAAAAGGTTAAAAACATTTCCAATATGGCTGTAGAACAGTAGACATGCTCAAGAATTGGATGGGCTACAGGAAAACAGGCAAACAGATTGTTAAGAAAGCAGAATCTGCAGCCCTGATTATAATAATGCATCCACACCGAACCCAATGAGGATGCACCAAACCCAGCAGACTGTCTGCAACATTTGCATGTTACAGTTTGCTTTTCACCAAAGTTGCATGGCCAATGAGGTCAAGGTTTTACCCACTTAATGGCCTCAATAAATATGAGCAGTCTACTTAACTTTTTTAACCTGCCATTTGCCATCAATTTTTAAACCCAGATGTTGTATTTTGAATAGATTAATATATAGACATCCATATCAGATATTTAAAAAAAAAAACATTGTTGCATTTTTGGAGCTTTTTTTTCTGTGTAGGTGGTGCTTGTTTTCTTTGAAGAGGTTGTTTCTACAGATCAGCTAGAGCGCTCCTCAAACAGCGCCGCAGATTGAAACAAACAAAGATAAAGTGTTTTGTTTGCAAATGTTAAAGCTGATAAGAGGAACACAAAGCTTGGATGTAAAGTGGAAGACAGGATTATAGAGGCATAAGCGAACACGCATCAACACTGAGAGAGTAAGACGGTGCTTTATTGGGTAGAATTCCCCTGCGCATCCCCCTCAGTAGTCATCATTCACCATCGGGTCCTACTCACACTGTAAACACGGCTAATCTCTGTGTATTTTCGAATGCTGAAGGACGTCAGGCTGTGTTCCTGGCAGGTCATGGGTGTTAAGTGACAGGATTCCCTGTTCATATCTGCATACTTTGGTCTGCTTCCACGAGCGGAGCAGAGTCTGTTCTAAAAGCTAATATTGTTTTACCATGCTCGGCAAAAATCATTTGTTGCTCTTCAACTTTCTCTGGTCCCCACAGAGCACAGTCTAGACTAATTCTTATTGTTCTGAATTGATCTATTTCTGCTGAAACTACCCTGAACATTCGGCTGAGAGAAGCTTTTCCTTAAGCCTTGCTGAATCATAACATTGAGTGGAAAAATATCTACATCCCACACCAAACTGAACTGAAAATGGATAACATTTGAATTGTATCGCATCATAACGAACTTAGTTTTACTAATGGCATATCATCAGTAATCCCTACATAACCCTGAAGGAGGAAAGAAAATAATACATGGACTTCCAATTTGGGGATAAAGAAAAATCTGCAAACTAAGCTTTTCCTTTCCATTGAATTATCTTCTAAATTAAATCCAGAGTAACCTATAAACTTTGAATGTCACCTACTTAGTCAGGAAGTTAGCTTTTAAAGGTCTTTGGCTGCGTCCGAACGTCCGCCCTAATCACTATATAGGGCACTATATAGTTGTTATGCCATTTTAAATGAATGTCTGAACGTCTACTGGATGAAAAAGTAGTGAACTCAAAATTTACCTCAATGCAACTTGAAAAGTAGTGATCATCCTTGGTCACTAGATGAGCAGATATATCCCGGAATGCTTTCAAAGTGTTATGGGATTTGCTGTCACAGCGGCTCGCTGTCGCTATCCGACAGCGAGTTACCTGATAAACAGGAAGTGAAAAGTAGAGATCACCTGTCTGAACAGCCATTGAACTGAGTTCACTATAAAGTCCACTATATAGTCCCTGCTACATATGGTGATTGAGGGATTTAGGGGTTAGTGTGGACGTTTGGACGTTTAGTGTCAGGGTTTCCGCAGGTCATTAAAAATCATTAAAAGTCATAAAATTATTATTTTTTAAATTAAGGCCTTAATTGGCATTACATTTCATTAAATGTGTTTATTGTGGCATTTAAAATGCTTTATGAAAAAAAAAATTATAAAAAAATTTTGTCAGACATATTATATCATGATATATTTGCGTGGAACACATTTTAACAAAAGTGGTTGGGAAAAGGAGGAATTCGGGACATGGCCTGTCGACGGGTACCTGTTGGTGGCATTAAAAATATTTCTAAGAGCATTAAAAGAACATTAAAAAGCATAAAATTTGAGTTATTCATTCCTGTATAAACCCTGAGTGAAGGAATTAGAAGCAGAAATCTATAAATGATGAAAAGCACATGAAGTCCTATTTGCAGTTTGGCAAAAGCCATGAAAGGGGACCAAAACCCTGTGATCTGATCAGATGAAACATGCAACACTTTGACTTTTGTTAAAAGAAAACAACTTAAAATGATTAGCTGTTATCAAAGTGAAAAAACCCTCCCCATCATCGTGCTGCTGGGATGCTGTTCTTCAGTCCACTGACAGCCTTCATCTGTTTCAGTTATTGTAAAAAAAATAACTTGATATGAATAAGAAATGCAACATGAAAAATTGTGTCTCTAAATGTTTAAGGCTGAGAGATGCGTGTCCTAAACTGTTCACTGCCCTGATTGCCGCAAAAGTTGCTTCTAAAAAAAAAAATGTTGGGCCTGAAAACAGCAAAATTTTTATAAAACATATTTAAAGTATGATTGCAGGTGGAAGACACCACTGATTCTACGCTATGTTTTATGAAAGTTTCTTTATGTTTTGGATTTTATTTACTTCGTTTATTATTGCACTGTTTTTGAATTTGTGAATTTATTAAATGTTTAACGAAAGCAAATAAAAAATTACTGAAGCACATAAAAACTGAGCAAGACGATAGAAAAACAAAACAACAAAGGAACAACAGTTTACAGTATGGAGTACGGGTGAGTATTGCCATTAATGTTGCGATACGATACGTGTCTCGATACTTGGGTCATGATTAGTGTTGCGCTAATGCCATTTTTGGCCCCGATACCCGATACCTGGCTGTGCAGTATTGGCCGATACCATACCATACCGATACCATCTGTTTGAAATTGATGTGTGTGTCTATATATGAAGAACTGCATACTACTTGGATGTAAAATAATTACCATCATGGCTTTGTCAAGCTGCTGCCTACCTTTATGAAGCAGGAAAAAGATTAATACAAAGTGAATCCAGTAGAACTTTTTATTGCCTACCTGGAATGGGTAACAATAGTTGAATAAACTTTTGGCTCTCAAAATGGTATCGGTGCCCTATTTGTTGGTGCTCGCCGATAACGATACCACCATTTTAGTGCTGGATCGGAACCCCGCCCAATACTGGTTTCGGTGCAAGAGGTGCTAGTCACAATGCAATATTATCAAAATATTGAAATATCACTATATATTCGATACTTTACCCAGCTATCAAAATGAGACTTATAGATATAAAGGCAAGTGTTTATGTTCATCAGAATCCATGTTGTTTGGAACTTTTGTTTGTGCTAAGCTAACATTAGCCTTGCTGTTTATATAGAGGGAACTGAGGCTTGAATGAGCTCTTGTTTAAGTTGAACAGAAACATTTACAATCAGTTTTCAGTTACTGTTCATTGACTTTGCTTTTATGTTTGAACAGATCAGCTATTAGCCTTGTCACTACCCTATCCATCCCAGAAGCACGATCCATCTTGCGCATGCGCCATCAGCTCATTTGCGCATCCAGATATAGGCCTACATCCCGGTGGCCTTGATTTTATTGTATTGAAGACAATTTTAACACGTTTTTCCCTCCCCAAAAATAGTAAGCTTACTGAAATATAATATGTCAAAGGTTAATAATGTATTTCCTGAGAAATTTCTCATTTATCTGTGCCTGATCTGCACCGAAAATGGGATCCTACGCTACTTCCGGGCGCTAACTTTTTCAGCTTTGGATTTAATCACCAATCTAGTCTTTTTGAGTTTTATGTTTTCCTTTCATGTAAACATTATGGTATATAGTGAAATCTAAAGAAAGAGACAACTAAAATGCAGATAAACATGGTTTAATCATATTTTACGGGACTGCTCTTAGCATGTGTAATGAAGAAAATGTAAAAAGCATCAAAATTGTCTCACAAAAGTTATAAAAACATTTTTTTCATTTTTTCAATGTCTATTAGCATTCTTTATTGAGTTAAGGATAGAAATAAGTAATTTTAGTACCATAATTACATTATTTATTGACACCCGGATGTATATCTGTTGTTGCATGTGTAGGAATGACCGTTTTTCCAGGACGGATCAGGTAGGGACAAGCCTAAAGAGGCTTTGCTAACGTTACTAGCGTTAGACCTCTGTAAAAAAGAGGAAGTTCTCAGGTTGTTTCCTCCTTAAAGTAACAAAAGATGACATGAGAAGGAAGAAACAGGTCTCTAGGCGAGCATTAGAGAGTCTACAGGCATATAAAAAGCAGGAGAGCAGAGAAGGAGAATGAATGATATTGAATCCCTACTGATAAAATATTCCAAAAGCATGTGAGAGTGGTTTATGTGCATTTCTATATAAAAAAAAAAAACAGCTTTTATGAAATGCACACTTTTGGTAGAATTCTGACTTTATATTGCATCATTTAATTACTTTGGTTTATAATGTCAGATCAGCAAAGTTACCTTAATAATAAATGGCCTGTACTATTATAACGCTTTTTAAAGTCAAGAGACTGGACCAAAGTGCTTTATACCACATTCAGTCATTCACACACACACTGATGGTGGCAAGCTACATTGTAGCCACAGCTGCCCTGGGGCTCACTGACAGAAGCCAGGCGCCACCGGGCCCTCTGACCACCATCATTAGGCTATTCAATGACACTGAACCGACAACCCTTCGGTTGCAGGGCAAACCCCTGCATCTGACGCCACTGTTGCCCAACAGTATATGGGAAAGTTTAAAGCTAAAAATAATGCTGCTAAATAGGCTGTGTTAAACCTGATGAAACTCTAAGGTTACATAATTCCATTAAAAGGCAATTATGATTAAAAGTGGGAGGAACTGAGTCGTGTCCCTTTGCAGGCTCTCACCACTGGCAGCATCCCAGGCTTCATCGACGTGGTAATGAACCTGAATTCTCCTGCACTCCTGGAGGACAACCTCATCTGGCAGGCCAAAACAGCAGGGAAGAGGATAGTCTTCTATGGAGACGACACATGGGTCCGCCTCTTCCCGAAGCACTTCATGGAGCACGACGGCACCACCTCCTTCTTTGTGTCCGACTACACTGAGGTCAGCATGAGTTCAATCCACCGGCGTTTGGCCGGGAACAGTCCAAGCAAAGAGTGATGGATTTTTTTTTCTGTGAATGCTGGTGAAGGATTGAAGTCCTCAGGTGCTTTATGTGATGCAGGATTAAAAAATAAAAAAAACTGATGACGAAATAAACCTGTTCTGCCATGATAGCCAAAAGATTAATGTTCAGACGCATGGCTTGGAATGAGTCACTATTAACAACAGCTTTCATCTTATAAACAGTTTGACTGATCCGGCTCTGGCTGCATGTTTACATGGCTGTCCTGCTGGAACCAGCAGGTTTACTTCCTCTAATCCAGCTGCATCTATAGACCCATTTTTCCTTAAGGGGTCTATAGATGGAGCATTTTTTGTTAGGTTGATGTAATTCAGCCTTTACTTAAGAAACCTTTGGATCCACTTGGTCAATTGTAGACCCATATCTCCATTTCTTCTTTAAAACAGAGTTTCTGCAGGTCATTAAAAATCATTAATTAATTAAGTCATTAAATTATTATTATTTTTTAAAATAAGGCCTTAATTAGCATGGAAATTCATTAAATGTGATTATTGTGGCATTTAAAATGCTTTATTTAAAAGAAAAAACAGTTTCTAAAAACAATTTTGTCAAATATATCAGATATAACTGGTTTTACGTGTTTGTGCGGAACTGTTTCCGGTCGTATGTTCCGTATGTTTCTTTATGTTCGAAAAAGAAGCTCAAGGCGGAGAAAAAAGCTAGGGAATGTGAAAATGCAATTTAGATTAGAGTTAATTATTCCTGTATAAACCCTGTAAAATTCCTGAGAAAATAGCTGTTAAACAAGTGTGTGATTTCAGAATTTTTCATGTAGTAACTTAATAGATTAAAAGTGTTTGAATACAAATGCATGCTTGTACAGAAGAGGATTAGAGCCACAGTCAGAATTCTGAGTTTTTTTCCCATACTAAACTGAAATAAAATTTAAAAATCAGTTAACTTCTGTGGCCCTAATCCTCTTCTGTATGCTTGACTTTCAGTGTTGTCTGTGAAATATTTGCAAACCTATGTCCCACTCCATGTCAATTTACAAATTTGTTTGCCTATATTAACCTAAACATTAAGGTGAGTTGTAACATGATAAATCAGAAAATGTTGGGAGGGATTTCGCAGTAAACATGTCTGTATTAAAGCTGTAAATGTGGATAATCGAACGGAGACACACAGCTGAGGTCAGTTTAATGCTCAGCAGCAATACCAGTGGGACTGAACAAGCTGTTCCTGGTTTTCTGCAGGTTTGTTGTTGCTGATCACTTTCACCACAAATGAGGCTGATTAGTTTTTATTTAGCCGGATTATAGCTGATGCTAAATCCAAACCCTGAAATAAACACTGAATACTGTCTCTGTAAGTAAGAGTGTCCCTGCTGCATTATATATATAGGTTGACAACAACGTAACCCGTCACCTGGACAGCACCCTGAAGAGAGACGACTGGGACATTCTGATCCTCCACTACCTGGGCCTGGACCACATCGGCCACATCAGCGGACCCCACAGTTCACTGGTCCAACCCAAACTGCTGGAGATGGATGACATCATGAAGAAAATCCACAGCTCTCTTGTTTCTAAGGTTGGTTGGTTTTCTCTGAACAACCTGTGAACTTTTTCAGACATCAAATGACTAGTGTGTAGCACCGTTTCCTTACAGCAAGAAGGTTCTGGGTTTGATTCCCGGCCCGGGGTCTTTCTGCATGAAATCTGCATGTTCTCCCTGAGCATGCATGGGTTCTCTCCAGGTACTCTGGCTTCCTCTCTCAGTCCAAAAACACGACTGTTAGGTTAATTGGTATCTCTAAATTGTCCGTAGGTGTGAGTGTGCATGGTTGTATGTCTGTATGTCTCTGTGTTGCCCTGCTGTCCAGGGTGTAGACTGCTGGAGATGGCACCAGCATTTACAGTGCTGTGATTTTACTTCATAAACCTCATCTGGCAGCCTTTAAGTAAGAAAAATAAACTAAACAGAGCTGTACTTCCCCCACACATATATTTGAAAATGCTCCCACTTGAAAGCGTGCTTGGAGGACAGAGGAACGTGCAGGTGGAGGTTGAGGGCTGGGCGTGGCCTGGGTGATTTAAAACGGCACGCTCGCACCTACACTAACACAAGCATGGTGAGCAGAGCGACCTGATGCAGAAATTTTCACACACAAAAGTAACCGAAAAGGAAGAACAGTGAAGTGACAAAGGTATGAAAAACAATAATGAGAGCTTATAAAGTTAGATTGTTCACATTAGAGTCTGAACTTTTACAGTTTAACATCCTTGATAAAGACATCAAAACGTGGTTTCCTCCTCCTGATTTGACTTTGAGGACTTGAAAGTATTTTAAAAACTGAAAATAGAACATTTGAAGATGAAAAAGATTTTTCAAACTGAAAAAAATTTATCCAAAAATTAATCGAAAAAATTTGTCTGAAACCAATTGTTGGTTTTCAGTTTAACTGATGAATATATTGTTCATGCGCCTATTATGTCCGTTCTCATTCCACACCCAGGATCGTCGAAGTCCGGCAGCAGTTTGAAACTGGAAGGAAAATAAAATCAGAAACTGAAAAAAATTCCAATCTGAATAGCCGTTTTAAAAACTTTTCTTTTAGTTTTAGATCCTGTTTTTCTTTTTTTTTCTCTTTTTTTTAACTAAAATTTTGACATATTAGTTTCAAATATTTTTTGCTACTATTTCCCACATCAATTTTATTTTAATTATATATTTTTTTTATTTCTTATTGAACAAACTTTATAGCCCTAGTTTAGGTCCATGGAAACGTTTCTGCCCCCTTCTGGGCCTGTGCAGCGTAAACATAGCCTGTTTCTCAATTCACAAGAACGCGACTACGGACTCGTGTCCTCGCCAAGTATGTCTTTGACGAGAACACAGGAAAGTGTGGACTCGGGGAGACTGAGAACACTCGTGACGTCACCACACGCTCAGCTCGTGTGGAGCTGCATTTCACCTCCTGTTATTAATAGTCTCTAGATAATAATAAATTCTTACTTTTTCATTTATTGGGGGAATAATGATGAACACAGTCAGATAAACACAAATCAACATTTTGCCAAATAAAACAAAAAAACTGCAATCGGAGCCAGCGGTACTTCACACACAGCTGTGCAGAGAGAGGGCTGCTGCTGACGGGCTAAGGTTAGCCCTGGCTACTGTTAGCATCGGAGGTCTGCTGGTTGCTGCGGTCCTCTCAACATGGGAACTTTTTTTAAATTTACGCACTAAATCAGTAAATGGGCCATATATTGAGGCTTGAAAGTATAATGTTCTCTCCTCAAATGATCTAAAAACATACTTTCATAGAACTACAATAGAAAAGAGAACTTTTAACTCCATACTCTTAGCGCTGTGAGCGCTCCATTGGAAGCTGCTGCTGCCGCAGCGCATGCTGGGACAGCTGTCGATCTCGAGAACAGACAAGTCTGCTCTGATGCATTCTGGGTAAAGAAGGAGGGGCTGGAAAAACATCCGGGGACAGTACTAGGACTGAGGCTGATGACGTTTCACGAGTACACGAGCACACGAGAACGCGGCTATAGTCAACATCTGGAAGGTAGCATCCAAAACCCCAAAGTTAAAGCTGAGAAGAGAGTTCAGTCCTCATCAACATCTAAAACAATCACATTAAACAGTTTATCCTGTTCTTAAACATCATTGGTTGTTTTACTTCAACTATTTTTCAGCTGGATGAGTTGAACTTTAATTAAGTAGCCGTTATGGTTAATCTATAAGCCAGCACCAGATTACAAGAACTAAAAATGCCCTTTTAGTGTTATTCAGAAAGTCATTCAAACATCACAGCCTGGTAATGCCTTGAAATACGCAAATATAAAATGACAATCAACGGGTAATAAATAACTGATCCAATCAGGGAATATTTAGCCTGATTAGTTTCTGTCCGTTTAATTAATGAGACCATTTGTAGCGCTGTCAGCAGCTGTTATGTTATCCCTTGCATCAGCCACAGAGATTTAATAAACTGTTAAGCTTTGCTGTTATCTTTGATCAGTGTTTCCCTGCAGCGTCTGACTGCAGTACATGCATATTGACTTTCCACTGTGTGTGTCCTCCTAATGGGCATTGTCTCGTTGTCATTCAGATATATAGATGCTACTTATATTGTCAAGTCATGTCTGCAAAGAGCCACAATTTCCCAACTCTTTCGCTTCAATCCGAGTTCCCTCTAAAAAGTAGAAAGAGTACAAAAAGAAAAAAATGTCTGGGTTTATTTTAGATTTGCTAATCCAGCGGTTAACATCCCAAAAGTTGTTGATTAAGTTGTCCTTTTCTAAGCTCTTGGAAAGGTAAACACATTAGATTTTCAGTGATTTTGTGTCGCTGAAATCTGATTTTCATTCACAATAAAGTTGTGACCTAAATATAAACCCTCCACTGTGGAGTCCTGCGGGTATAAACATCTTCGAGGCTTCTACAAAGACAACAGCGTTTTTCTCTGGTTCCTTCTCGCTGTGAACGTGTATTCCCGTCATATGGGAGTGTGTCTGCTGCAGATGCTGTGGGTGTTGTCTGCCGCTATATCCTGTAGGATCGACGGCTCCAGCTGCAGAAAAGAGAGACAGTTTAGGATTCAGATGACAGCCCTCCCCGCTCCATCTGTAATGTGGCACCAGTTGTCTTTTTCTGAGCATAAAAGGGGGCAGAGTGTTCTGTTACAGCTAGATTGGAGCGAAGGACCTCCTGGTCACCAGGGCCTCACGTTTGTTTTAATCTAGAGCTCAGAGCCTTAATCTGTTATTCCTTAGACTGTAGTTTTTGGGGTTGAATATGATGTTTGGTGAATTAAGTTTGGGGGGGAAAAAAAACAGAAAATAATCAAAATCTGAATTTGATTAAACTGGGAAATGCACGAGATGTGGGATGATTAAACCTCAGTTTGTTCAAAGATGGTTTATATTATTAAAAGCAAAGCATATTAGAGTTCAGCCCCTTCAGACACAGACCGGTTTGTGTNTGGGCTGACCAGCTTTCAATATGGCTGCCGCGCAACGTGTGACGTCATGTGCCCGAGCCTTATAGTCTCTAGAATTCTTACTTTTTTCATTTATTGGGGGAATAATGATGAACACAGTCAGATAAACACAAATCAACATTTTGCCAAATAAAACAAAAAAACTGCCATCAGAGCCAGCGGTCCTTCACACACAGCTGTGCAGAGAGAGGGCTGCTGCTGACGGGCTAAGGTTAGCCCTGGCTACGGTTAGCATCGGAGGTCCGCTGGTTGCTGCGGTCCTCTCAACATGATAACTTTTATTAAATTTACACACTAAATCAGTAAATGGGCCATATAGTGATGCTTAAAAGTATAATGTTCTCTCCTCAAAGGATCTAAGAATGTACCCTTATAGAACTACAAGAGAAAAGAGAACTTTTAACTTAATGCTCTAAACTCTGTGAGCGCTCCCCTGGAAGCTGCTGCTGCCGCAGTGCATGCTGGGACATCTGTCAATCTCGAGAACAGACAAGTCTGCTCTGATGCATTCTGGGTAAAGAGGGAGGGGTGGGAAAAACATCTGGGGACTTTGTCCGTTCTCGGACTTCTTGTTCTTTTGAACTGGAACAGTACTAGGACTGAGGCTGATGACGTTTCACGAGTACATGAGCACAAGAGAACGCACAAGTACACATATTGAGAACGCGGCTATAGTCAACATCTGGAAAGTAGCATCCAAAACCCCAAAGTTAAAGCTGTTTTAGATGTTAACGAGGACCGAACTCTCTTCTCAATCACATTAAACTGTTTATCCTGTTCTTAAACATCATTGGTTGTTTTACTTCAACTATTTTTCAGCTGGATGAGTTGAACTTTAATTAAGTAGCCGTTATGGTTAATCTATAAGCCAGCACCAGATTACAAGAACTAAAAATGCCCTTTTAGTGTTATTCAGAAAGTCATTCAAACATCACAGCCTGGTAATGCCTTGAAATACGCAAATATAAAATGACAATCAACGGGTAATAAATAACTGATCCAATCAGGGAATATTTAGCCTGATTAGTTTCTGTCCGTTTAATTAATGAGACCATTTGTAGCGCTGTCAGCAGCTGTTATGTTATCCCTTGCATCAGCCACAGAGATTTAATAAACTGTTAAGCTTTGCTGTTATCTTTGATCAGTGTTTCCCTGCAGCGTCTGACTGCAGTACATGCATATTGACTTTCCGCTGTGTGTGTCCTCCTAATGGGCATTGTCTCGTTGTCATTCAGATATATAGATGCTACTTATATTGTCAAGTCATGTCTGCAAAGAGCCACAATTTCCCAACTCTTTCGCTTCAATCCGAGTTCCCTCTAAAAAGTAGAAAGAGTACAAAAAGAAAAAAATGTCTGGGTTTATTTTAGATTTGCTAATCCAGCGGTTAACATCCCAAAAGTTGTTGATTAAGTTGTCCTTTTCTAAGCTCTTGGAAAGGTAAACACATTAGATTTTCAGTGATTTTGTGTCGCTGAAATCTGATTTTCATTCACAATAAAGTTGTGACCTAAATATAAACCCTCCACTGTGGAGTCCTGCGGGTATAAACATCTTCGAGGCTTCTACAAAGACA